TCACAGTCTCCTGGTGACTGGCCCAAAGTCACCCAGTTGGCTTTCATGCCTGAGGTGGAACTAGAACTCACTGTCACCCAGTTTCTAGCCAGCGGCTTAACCATTATACCAAACTGGCTCCAGGTGTTTAGAGGGAGGCTGCTCCCCGTGAGGTACACCCACCCCTTTCTCCCCAAAGATGCCATTCCCAAAGATCTTGGGCCCTCCCGCCGCGCCTGGCTGAGCTGCAGCCCTTCCCCGCATCCCTGCTGCCTGGCCTCTTAAAAGACCCTCCCTTCCTTCCTTCTCCTCTGCTGCCCCTTCGGGCTCACCTGGAGATTATTCAGGGGGTCCATCTTCATGACTGAACCGACGGTGTTGAGGGGAAGAGAGATCTCCACGTTCTGGTTGGGGGCGAGAGGGGTGTGGACTTGCAGAGGGGCAGCAGGGGCCAAACCGAAGCTGGAGAGAATATGGCCAGAGAGAGAGAGAGAGGTAGGCAAGCCATATATTGGTGGGTGGCAGTTTCAACACAAGACAGCGCTATAAAAACGAACTAGCTGGATCCCTGTGCTTCGCTACGAAACTATGTGGTCGGGCTTAGTTTTTGAGGAGGAAAATAAGGGGGAAAAATTCTGCCTCTGCCTACCAGCATCCATCGGTATTCATCTGTCTAGAGTCCTGTCAGTGTGTGAGAGAGTTGAGGGCTGTTTGGAAACTGAAACAGTATTTGCTGTGTGAGCAAGGAGACAGCAAGGAGCCTGGGCGTGGCTTAGCTCAACTGTTCTGTACTAAACCTGCTTGGTGCTGTGAAACTGAAACCGAAACTCCTCTCCTCTGCTTGTGTTTTGCTTTTGGAGCAGATTTCTTTTCAGGTGGGGAGGGAGAGTAGAACTCCTTAGCATCAGAGCGTTTTAATAATAATAATATAGGAAATACTAAATGCTCTGATGGTCATTTTGAAAAATCCTTTCTTAGTGAGCCCCTAGAAGCCAAGAGGAACATACATGCCAAATTTCAAGTTTGTAGGCTTTACGGTTCTGGAGATTTTGTGATGATGCATGAGTGGTATTTTTTGCTTTTATATATATATATATATAGATTATGACCTTCCTTTATGGGGTCAAATTGCCTGGCACTGATTTCCTGTAAGGTGGAGCTTCCTGAAAATTTTTCCCCAGCTGCCCCAGGAGTTGCTGTCAAATGCACCCCAAGAAGATGCTCTGATTTTCAACCACTACTTATCGAGACCCAACCAGCAACAATGCTTCTATATTCCTGGAAGTGTCTATAGTTTTTCCCAACCTTGGAATTCGGGGAGTTGAAGTCCACTCGTCTTAAAGTCCCCAAAGTTGAGAAATACTGGTCTAGACCAGGGGGGGTCTTCAAACTTGGCAGCTTTAAGACTTGTGGACTTCAACTCCCAGAATTCCTCCTCCAGTCATGTCAGCTCAGGAATTCTGGGAGTTGAAGTCCACAAGTCTTAAAACTTGCCAAGGTTGGAGACCCTTGTGACAGATGATAGATACATGCATAGATAAATGATAGATAGATAGATAGATAGATAGATAGATAGATAGATAGATAGATAGATAGATAGATAGATAGATAGATAGATAGATAGATAGGAAAATAGGCAGGTAGGTATGGAGAGAGAGATGATAGATAGGTGATAGATCAAGGGTCTTCAAACTTGGCAGCTGAAAGACTTGGGGAATTCAACTCCCAGAATTCCTCCTCCAGTCATGTCAGCTCAGGAATTCTGGGAGTTGAAGCCCACCTGTCTTAAATTTGCCAAGTTTGAAGACCCTTGAGATAGATAGATAGATTGATAGATGATAGATATTAGATTGATAGATACATAGGTACATAGATACATAGATTGATAAGATAGATATATTGATAGGTAAATAGGTAGGTAGGTACGGAGAGAGAGAGATGATAGATAGATAGATAGATAGATAGATAGATAGATAGATAGATAGATAGATAGATAGATGATAGGTGATAGATCAGGAGTCTTCAAACTTGGCAAGTTTAAAACTTGGGGACTTTCAACTCCAGGTGGATTTAAATCAGGCAATTAAACCAGGAAACAAAGGGTGAGAATTATTGAGATGTGGGTCTCCATTTAGAACAGCCTTCTCCAACGTGGCTGGCTGGGGATTCTGGGGGTTGGAGTAGGCCAGCCTGCCAGGTCAGCCTCTTCAGCCAACTTCTTAGAGGGTTTGGCATCATTGAACCAACCGCTCAGGAGAAAGTCGATCATCATCAGAGGCTGCCCAACAGATGCGTGTGGGGGAAGCTTCTTACCTGTTCCGGTTGAACTGGATGGCAAAATCCGACATGACCTGCAAGGCTTTGTTGGACAACGTGATGTCCATGGAGAGGGAACCAGCCCGGCGACTGAACGTTCCTGAGATTTCCAGGCCTTTGGCCTTTACTGCAGGGAGCCACACCTAAAACCAGAGAGGACGCTCAAGGCTTGGCCACCAAGGTCCTTCAGATGTCAGCCTTCCAACTAAACCAACTCCAAACCAACAAACTCCGAGACAAACAATTCCTCAAAGTTCCATTTTATTAAGAGTTCTCATATCGGCACATCTGGGGAAACCTGAATCGGAGAGTTCTGGGTTTCCCCGTCCCAAAAGAGAAATCAACCATCCATCCCCTGCACCCATCAGTCCATCACACGGCCCAATCAAATCTTCGTCTCAACTGGAGACATCCCTCCAAATGTTCCCCTCCAGGTGCAGGGCAACATGTCCTTGACTCTCTGAGAAAAGATTGTTGTTGTGCCTAATCTTCTGCCCCACTAGGAAATCCCCCCCTCCCAAATTCCCAGGCAGTGAATGTGGCAGCCTCGAAGCCTCCAAGTAAAAATATGGCTTCCAAGGCTGACACCAGAGGTATCTCTGTGAAGACTCAACCAACCGGGTGGTCTAAAGGTTGAACTGTGCCAACTGGACCAAACTCTTGTTCACCCAAGACGAGTCTCTGCCTAACTAATTTTCCTCTGATTTGATGACGCGGCTTGGATGAGCAGCGAAACATCTCAGATGAACAAGAGTTTGGCCCAGTTGCCATGATTCAACCTTGTTTAGGCACATACTCCAGAGATGGTTTCTGCAAGCTTGGCCAAGCTGCCCCCAGCAAAGTCTCTGGCCGGCGAGGGCTACAAGGGGCTGCCGCCATCTTTGGCTTCAGGGGGGATCCTACCAGAGGAAAAGCTACTCACGGTTTTGGGAGCGACGTGGGAGCCCGACAGGTTGCTCACACCTCCGGCCAGGTCGAAGAGGTCTCCCAGCCCCCCGCCGAGGAGTCCTCCCAGGTTTGAGGGCATGACGGTATTGGGAGCTGCAAAACTCGGCCCTGCCATCTGCAGGAGAACGAAAGTTCGTGGTGCTCGTCGGAAAAAAAAAGGGGGTGGGGGGAAGCTATTGCAAATCCATCCCCTATCAAACAAAGAACCCTACCTCATATCATAGGCCCACCCACCTAGCCATGCCCCACCCAGTTTGCCAAAGGGGGAGAGGACGAGGGAGTGGTCACGCTCACGGACACGCGAGGCCCGTTCTTGTAAAGGAGGAAGGAGAGCTGAAACATACCCCTTCCTGTTCTTCCCCCATCTTGAAAGGAGAGAAGCAGGAGGCGAAGAGGAGAACAGCAGCAGCAGTAGGGAGTGAAAGAAAAGAGCGAGAGAGAGAAAGAGAGGGAGGGAGAGAGGCAGGCCAGGAAGGGGAGAAGGGAGACAAGGGGTCGGGGTGGGGTGAAAAGTTAGTTTGCTCAGCGTCACAACACGGGAAAGCTAGCCCACGTGCTACAGAACAGCCTCCCTGGTGTGTGTGTGTTTGTGTGTGTGTGTGCCATTCTTAGACATCTGGGCAAAACCTGGAAGTTGGCATCGACCAACAAGTTAGCTTTTGCCAGCCCCTAATCAAGACGAATCTAAAACTAAGAAAAGAACAGAATGGACAGGATAGGACGGAACAGAACAGAAACGACATGATGGAACGGGAGAGAAAAAGCCAATTTGGTCTAGTGGTTAAGGCATCAGGCTAGAAAACAGAAGGCCATGAGTTCAAGTCCTGCCTTGGCCATGAAAGGAGCTGGGTAACTTTGGGCCAGTCACACTCTCTCAGCCCAAACCAACTCTATAGCTGGTGATTGTGGGGAAAAACAGGAGGAAGGAAGGAGTGTTAGGGATGTATGCTGCTTGAGTTATTGGTAAAATAAAAAATAATAATAAAGGCGGGGTACAAATCAATAAAATGTATGAAAAATAAACAGAGCAGAAAACATGGAATGGATTATATGGAACTGAGCGGAATAGACTATACGGAACGGAATGGAAATGTAGAATGGAACAGAACGGAACAGAATGCAGAACAGAATAGAATATAGAATAGAACACAATAAAATACAGAACAGAATATAGAATATAGAAAAAGAACAGAATAGAATAGAAATAGAATAGAATAGGATATAGAAAATAGAAAAA